GAAAGAAGAAATTAGTTTCTTGCGGCTCGTGTATGGAAAGCTTCAAGCGAGTCGTGCTTGTTGCGGAACTCATAATTGAAGGAGAAAATTCATTTAAATTTTCTCGACCGATTTTGTGATTTCAAGTTCATTCGAAGGATTTATGTACCTACATATCTGTGAACCACATATTCGGTTTTTGTTTTTTGTTTTTTTTTTTTTTTAAATTTTCTTATTGTTAAGGGATTATTTTTTGTTTCTTTTTTTTAAACCATATAGAGTAAGTTTTTGGACATATGTGGCCTTGATGGACCCTGAGAATTTAAGAGAGCTTTTTGCCATCTCATAGTTACTTACTTAGTTTTATCAACCTTCTTGGAGGGGTGAAAGGGAATTTTTTTGGTTAATAAGATGTAACACGTCAATTTCCTCGACCGGATTTTTTGCCCGAAAATGTTTTTGAGGGTTTTTGTAGTTTTAAAGTGTATGCTAAACGTCACTAATTACAGATGCTAGGACTTAGAGAGTTTTTGAACCACTGCTCTCTTTTTAGGCCGTAGTATCTTGATTTATTTTGCGAGGGAAGCTCCGTAATTTTGATGGATGCCTGTCATTCCTAATATATTAGAGTGCCTTCAGTGTCGTATGATACTGTGCAATACCTCTGGTGTGAAATAGTTGCTTCAAGCGCCGTGGCACGCTGCGGTGCGGCAGGCGAGCAGCCAGCGCGAAACGCGCATTGGCGCCTACAAACCTAACAGGGATACTTCACGCGTCGCGCAATGCGTGAAGTATCCATGTTAGGTTTGTAGGCGCCAGTGCGTCGCGCCGCTCCACTTTGTGTTAGGCTCTAATATTTAATTTGGCGGAGTCAGCGTTATTCAACTCATGATTTTGAAATGTTTGCTCATCCTGTATGGATTATTCTCGTTTTAATTGATAAAAAAACTATGTATTAAAGGAACATATAACGTATGTTTTGTAAACATTAAGGTGGTTCCGTCTCAAACAATATTTTAATCTCGTGGAGTCAGCGTTTTTCAACTCATGACTTTGAAATGTTTTCGCACTCTGTATGGATTATTCTCGTTTTAATTGATGAAAAAAAATATGCATTAAAGGAAAATATAACGTGTGTTTTGTAAATATCAAGGTGGTTCCGTATCAAACTTGATGATTTCCATAGCTCACGAATTTCTACACAATTTCTTATAGCCTTTTATAATCGATGGCGAAAAAGCAACAGTCAGGCGATAAAGTGTAAAGCCCGTCGATAGGAACTATAGCCCGGCTGCATAATTTTTTATCGCTTCGTATAGCCCGGCCGTATGATTTTCTCCGCATTCTACAGCCAGCTGTATATGATTTTCTGTAGCCTTCTCTAGCTGACTATAAGAAACCCTATGGTATTTTGAAACGCAGCTCTAATCGCCAATTTTTACCAGGGTGCACAAGTCAAAACTTGTTCATGGTTTAGTGCCTCATTATTCAGAAATTTCAAAGAACCCAATTGAAGTATTTTGGATTTTGTGTGTTACAGGCTGAACTATGTATCCGCGGTGCTCCTCGAATCCATGCGTAGCTGTCACGTGGTCCCGGTAACTGGACCTCGCCGCGCTACACAAACGACTACCGTTGGTGGTTACACTATTCCTGAGGTAAACATCCTCTCTTATTGAGTAGTAAAGAACCAAAAAGGCCGTCTTACTTTCAAAACCTTACTGCTGTGTTTAGGAAATTTTAAGGAAAAATCAGTAACACTAGGAAAGAAACTAGTTCCATCTATTAAAACTAGACAACCTATATAGAGAGAGAACGCACAAGTCGAAATATGAGCCCCTTGGGGCCCAAAAGAGCAGGCAACCTTCTAACACTAAAAATGCCACTCCAGATTTCAATATGAAACCAAGATGGCCAAGAATGTTCTTAAATGAGCGTGCTTTCGCAGAAATGTATGGTTTTATGCCAAAACTAAGTCAAGGAATCTTAGGAGTCTAAGTCTTAGGAGTTTATATCAGTAATATTCGTTGCGCATATTGTGGTTTATACGTAAAATTTCGGTTCAGATACGTGTATCAGAATGCTTAGCTTCTTACTTTGTCTAGTGGTCCATTGTATTATTGAAGCACACTGGATCATTTGAATGGACCACTAGACAAGGTACGAATTTAAGCAATCTGGTACAAGTTTCTTGACCAGAATTTCACGTAAAACACGATTCGCACAACGGAAATTACTGAAACCAACTCCTAACGAAGATATTAACGTTTTTATTTCACATTTGTTACGAGGAATTTGAACTGCCCGCTCATAAGAAACTCAAAGCTCTACGTGAGTCAAATCGCGCACTACAACGGTTTCAGCACGCTTCTCAATCGAGCAATGTTCATTTCCCATCGTGTCGTTCAAACTATAAGCAATTTGCTATAGCTGAGCCAAAGCGTCAAGACTAAGGTTGCCAGATTTTTATATCGCATATACTGTTATGATAACATGAGCGCGCGATGTGAATCACGTGGAGCATTCATTTTTATTTAGCGGGTGGTTTGAATTCATGCATCAAGAATCATTAAATATCTTCGTAAGGAGTTGATTTCTGTAATTTCCGCTGTGCGCGTCGTGTTTTACGTGAACTTTTGATTAAGAAACATGTATCAAAATGCTGAAATGTATACCTTGTCTAGTGGTCCATTCATAGGTTGGGTGTCTTTTTTGGCACTAAAAGCTCCATGCCTTGACCTTAAAATTGCCGGCATGTGCGCACTCTCCCAACATAGGCACTACAGTTCACTGTTGCATATTCAAACATATTTTACGAAAAATGTTTCAGGGAACAACAGTATTAATGAGCGTCCACTCAATCTTGAACGACAAGAAGCGATGGGGCGATCCAGAAGTATTCAGACCAGAAAGATTTTTAGACAGCGACGGAAACATTGTCAATTCCGAGCGGTTATATTTCTATGGACGAGGTAAGAAAACAATTTTGCGGCCTTTGAAAAAAAGATTGCTGCTGGGTGAATTTTCAACCATGAGCGGAGCAAGGTGTCATTCCAAGCTAAGGATTCGATCTATAAGATCGAGGAAACAGCATTAATGTATGCTTTTCAACTCCGCTAAAAACTGGCCTTTGCATGATGTCTGTAGGACAGCACTGCCGTGCTGAGGAAAAACGCCGTATGAACCTTCATGCGTTGCCAAATTTAAATTGGTAAATCACGAACTTATGGGAAATTTTTTGAATATTTTTCCTCGAATTTCTCAGATAATTTTGGTTCGCAATTTCAACTAAAGTTCCTGAACATTTTAAGGAAAAATATTCATAACTTTCCTCAAAAATAACAATTTTATCGGAGGAAATTTGGCAACCCTTGAATGTCTATACGGCGTTTTTCTTTCGCACGGCAGAACAATTCGACTCTGACGTAAGGGCGCATCTCGATTTCCACGGGAGTCCTGCTCTCCATATGGACTACATTTTGCAATTTGAAACTATAAATTATAGCCTGGGTTAAAAACAACGTATGTGCCATTAGTTTCCCTATGCACATAAGTGTTTTTTCAGAAGAGCCAGAATTTATAGTTCCAAATTGCAAAATGTAGTCCATATAACCCTACACTTTCTAGGGCTGATGCATCATGCACGAATGGGCCTGTTGCAAACTTTTGCTAGAGCAAAAATAAGAGTTGTTTCTTGTAGATAATGCCTCAAAAATCACGATGAGCGCATCGGCAAAGTCTGAAATGCACTCATAACTTCACAATCTGCGTAAGAAATTAGCGTTTTTTTAAGCTTCCCGCTTCAAAAACGATACTACGGCACAGGTGAACATTTTGTTAGAGGAGTCGCTCCATCATCGGCGATATTCATCATGGCCGACGCTTGCTCGCAGTTCCGTGCGTGATTCGAGGAGAGTTCAAGGTCAATCAATTCGGGCGTGGAAAATATGAACGTTAACACACCGATTGTTATCCGGTCTAATCCAGTTCAGATGTTTTATCTCGTCCCATCAAACGTGTTTCGGCGGATTGGCGTCGGCCATGATGATTATTGCCGACGATGGAGCGACTCCTCTTACAAAATGTTCACCTGTGTCGTAGTATCGTTTCTGAAGCGGGAAGCTCAATAAACCGCAAATTTCTTACGCAGACTGTGAAGTTATGAGTGCATTTCAGACTTTGCCGATGCGCTCATCGTGATTTTTGAGGCATTATCTATAAGAAACAACTCTTATTTTTGCTCTAGCAAAAGTTTGCAACAGGCCCATTGTATGAGGTCATAAAAATGGGTCTGAAAGCCTCAAATGACCATTTCTTATGGTGATATCTCAGTTAGGAAATGATTTCGGTGTTTTTTGATGTAAAAATTGTGTTCTACGTGAAATTATGGTGAAATAACATGTATCAAAATCCGTAAATTCGTACCTTGTCTAGTGTTTTATTCAGAGAATGGAACCAACTGCATAGTGATGCTTATAAAGTTCCCCCAAGCGACTAAGAAGCACAACCCGTGTTTGCCGATAAATGGACTACATTTTACAATAATTTGGAGCTATGAATTCTGGCCCGGTTTAAAAACAACGTTTGTACCATTAGTTTCCCTATGCACATAAGTGTTTTTTAGATGAGCCAAAATTTATAGCTCCAAATTGCAAAATGTAGTCCAAATATGGTTCCTTTCTGTTGAACTCGATTTATTTGATGTGAAATTAAACTAAGAAATTAATCTCTGAATCTGGACTCTTGCAGGCAAGCGAAGATGTATTGGAGAGGCGCTGGCGAGGAATTTCATCTTCCAGTTTTTCACTAGTCTCCTCTACCACTTCGAGTTCTCAGCCACTCCCGGAAAAACCTTACCAACAACCCCTATCCCGGGAATCACCTTAAGTCCGCAGCCATACTTTGTGGATGTGAGGCCTAGACATCCAGCACAGACCACGGAACATAGGCATGGATGACCATGTTCATAATTAACGTGCCAAGCGTGGACATCATATATTGGCTGCAATAAGGACCGTTACCCAAAATTGGTTAATACAAAAGCGCCTGATTGTTCCTTGGATCCAAAAGGACAAGGATCAAGACTGCCGTGCTAAGGAGGAAAGCCGTATTCACATTCGAGAGTTGCCAAATTTCCTTCGATAAAATGTTCATTTTTGAGGAAAGTTATGAGTATTTTTCCTTTTAATTTTCTGAATCTTTAGATAAAATTGTTAACTATATTATCTGAAAAATTGGGAGGAAAATATTCATAAATTAACCAGGAAATTTGCGTTTTATGGAAGGAAATTTGGCAACGCCTGAAGGTTCATACGGCGTTTTTCCTTAGCATGGCAGAGGAGTGTAAGTCCGAAACCACGTATCTCGGTTTGCTAGATTACAGTATACTTGTTTATTTTTTAAATGGAAAACTACTTAAAGGAAGTTCTTAAAAATTGCTGTAATTTGTCTTCCTCGTGCGAAGAATATTCTGCGAGATTTTCAAGGAATGAAGTCGATTTGCATTATTTTAAAAAAAATATAAAATAGATGCGAAGATTTTCAAATCCTGAAGAGTAGACACGTGGTTGTGGACTTACACCATCGATATGTCGAAGGCAAATGGCAATATCAGGCATTTTGTAAAATGCCCAGGCAAATAGCAAAAAAGGCATTTAAATAATTGAAATGGGCCATATGCCTAGGCATTTTACGAAACGTCGCACAGTGGATAGAGTCAATGCGAGGGGTCGGACATTAAATTTTTGACTAAAATTGCAAATTTTGATGTTTATTTCGTCACATTTTAAATTTTAAGGGGTGCCTATAGCAAGAAATTTGACTAGGAAACCATTAAAGACACTTTTAGAACCTCAAAGTTTTGTATAAACGAAGTTATGAGCGTTTAGAGTTTCCAAATTGTGTCCGATTTCTCCTCTTGAGTCGATCCATTGTGCGTCGAGGCATTTTACGAAACGCGTAGGCAAAAACGGAGGCTTTACTTAGGTACGGCTTTACTTCACTTATTTGCTATTTGCCTGAAACTTTCATCTCTCTATCTGCCTAAAAATTTTAGGCATTTCACAGAATGCCTAGGCAAGTGCGCTTCGAGAGCTTCGATGAAATGATTCTATCTGCTTAGGCATCTTACAAAATGCCTGATATTTCTATTTGCCTGCGACAGATGTATCGAAGTGCTAATTAAAGGTAACGTTTCAAAATGTTACGGATAAAATACGCATTTAAATGCAGTGCATACTTGCATGCCTCTCTGCTGAAACATCGGTGCCAGTTAATGAAGACAGTACAACTTTAATTTTCACGAAAAATCTGTGCACCGTCAAAAGTAATTTTTTTGAAGTGCTGGCGCGGTGTGAGATCTCCGAATAGTTTGTACGTTTTTAAGTTATTGATGTTTGAAAATAAAGTAAACAATGAAACTTTCCGATTCGTTTCATTTCATTTTGTCTCTTTTTTTAGAGTTCCTCAAAAGAAACTCAAATAAAGGTGTGTGACGTCAAGCAGGATCCAGTGGCGTGGCGTGAACAATCGATTATCGATTTTCCCCTATTTGAAGCTATAGTAAAGCATCGATTATCAAGGTGTTCGTTGCGAACACCCTGTTCATCGATTCTCTTCCATAGGTTTAAATGGCGGATACATCGCAAAGCACGCCACACCACTGCAAGGGTCATACTAACTTGTGCTCGTATTGACTTGATGACGCTCAGTTTTGTAGATACTCCGAGTAAATAGAATCCGTTGAAACGCTATTTTATTTAAAGAAATATCCTTCCTTGAAAATTAGGATTAATGATGTCATTTATAGTGAGCGCAGTGCCAATCTCGGTTTTTTCCAACTTGGTCGCACCAATCAGTGATATAAACAAGATCCAACGATTCATCTTTGCAGGGTGTCCCTTATCCCGCAATGGAGATGTTGCATGTGTGAGGAATTTGCGATTTGACTGTTTATTATTGTGTAAAAGTTCGCGAGAAACACGATGTGGCCACTGGTTTTCTCTGAAATCAACTCCCAAGCTCTAAAAAAGCTCTCAAGTTGAGGCCCAAATGGAGGGGATATCCCACGCTATCCTGAGAGTCCATCTCTACATCAAAGCAAACTCTCCATGCGAAGATAGGGAGCAAATACATTGACAGGGCTGCCACTTTATTTGGGGACTCCAAAACTGAAAACACGGCAACCCTGCTGAGGTATTTGCTCCCTATCTTTGCATGGAGAGTTTGTCTTGATGTAGAGGTAGACTCTCAGGGTAGGGTGGGATATCCCCTCCATTTTGGCCTCAACTTGAGAGCTTTTTTTGAGCTTAGGAGTTGATTTCAGAGAAAACCGGTGGCACTATCGTGTTTCTCTCGAACTTTTACATGAGAATCATTGTTCACATCCCGAATTCCTCACACATGCAACATCTCCATTGTCGTTCCTCTAACGCAAAGGCATATCTCTATTTCCACATGAGTCTTGGAAAGCGCAGAGTTATGCGGCGTACAGAGTCCACGTGGAAATCAAGATACGCCCTTACATCAGAGAAGCGCCGTAATGAGGATAAAACGGAAGAAACTGCTGCATGCCCTAAAGTAACGAATGACGTTATTTTTTTTCCTGAATTCTACGCTGAAAAAAAGCCAGGAATAATAATTGTAATCTTCCGTCACATTCTTACGGCGCAATGATACAACTATTTGAACTCTCCGGAATGCGTGAGGTATCGCGACGCATTTGAAGGCGTTTTCAAAACAGCCAAGTTCCGATACCCGGATGATCGTTTTGCATATTTCATATTCTTTTGTTATATTCCGTACAACTTGTTTATTTTAAATCCTTGTATAAAAGCCACCCATTTGCTAAATACAATTCTAGCTGGAGCGCACTTCAGCTATGCATTCACCACTGCAAAAGTGTCAAAGGAAATCGACAAGCCCAGCGTGCATGGAGGCTATTTCCATTTTAATCTTCCGTCACATTCTTACGGCGGAATGATACAACTATTTGAACTCTCCGGAATGCGTGAGGTATCACGCCGCATTTGAAGGCGTTTTCAAAACGGCCAAGTTCCGATATCTGGATTATCGTTTTGCATAGTCCATATTCTTTTGTTTTCATTCCTAACCACTTGCTTATTTATAATCCTCCTATAAAAATTACCCATTTGCTAAATAGAATTCTAGCTGGAGCGCACTTCAGCTATGCATTCACCACTGCAAACATGTCAAAGGAAATCGACAAGCCCAGCGTGCATGAAGGCTATTTCAATTGAGGACACCGCACCAAGAACAGCCTATAGCTGGAAACCGCGTTTTGAGAAAAACGCATTTAAAGTTTTGTTTTTGATGTACTGCGCAGACTTTTCTATGCAGGTACCCTGTTTTGATGTTTTTGGGTGACCTAATCCTTCTATTGAAGGATGCCGGGTAGATTTTGCGATACACTTTGGGTTTACACTTTAATATATTTAACGTAAAAAAGCGGTTTTTAGGCCATTATTACACCCAACAGTCATTTTGGTGGCAATATGAAGTATAAATCATTTTAATCACGCATGATTAACGCAAAATGAAAGAATATCGATAGTGAGTAAAGAAAGGGGTAACTAACACCTTATATTCCCTTAAGTTTATAGGCCCGCTTAAAGGTCGTTCTTGCACCCATCGATCCATTGGCCTGACTTAACTCGGAAAAAAAAAGGTTTTTCGACCTAGAGCCGTTACCTATCTATATTCTATCGCTACCACAGCATAGTTCAGGGTACGTAGAATCCGAAAAGCAGATGGGCGTAATCCGTAATAACGACCTATACGCCTATAGGCTGTTCTTGGTGTGGTATCCTCAATTGTAATCTTCCGTCGCATTCCTAAGGCGCAATAATACAACTATTTGAATTCTCCGGAATGCGTGAGGTATCACGACGCATTTGAAGACGTTTTCAAAACAGCCAAGTTCCGCTATCCGGATTATTGTTTTCCATAGTTCCTATTATTATGTTTTATTTCCTACCATTGATTTGTTTTCAATCCTCCTATAAAAACTACTCCTTTGCTGATTACACTTCTGGCTGGAGCGCAGTTTAGCTATGCATTCACCACTGCAAAAGTGTCAAAGGAAATCGACAAATCAATTATTCAAGCCAATTTAGACAATATGACATCGCCAACGATTCGCAGGGCCTCGTTGATCGATGGTAAAAGTCAAAATGTAAAAAAAGAGGTAGGGGTTGAGTCCCAACTGTTGGATGATATGGACATTTGTGGTACTGCCCCAATTAAATGTGATACTACCCCAATTAATTGTGATACTATCCCAATAAATTAGGTCACTAACCTAAATGTTGCGGTACTACCCCAACTTGAGTTGCGATACTACCAACATTAATTGGAAATGTCCATATCATCCAACAAATAGGGGCAGTGCCACGATTTTAGGGGATAACCCCTGACACTTTTTTTCCGTGGCCCACTCAATTTAAGTTAACTCAGGGGGTGGGGGCGCGAGGCGGGCCTAAAAAGGCACAAAGTGTCCTCTAAGGGTAAAGGCGAGGAGTGGCCTGGAGGCATAGCTCCCTGGTGATAAACGAACATTAAATCTTCCAGCCCGAAATCTATCCAACTTTAAAAGTTTCAACAATTCGTTGAATTACTACGAATGATACTACGAATAAATTTTATTTATTTAAGATAAAATCCTCCTTTAAAATTTGTGCACGACTCCCGCCCCCCTGCTTCCTATACCCCCTTCTTCTTAATATTGGTGAATCTCGTTAGGTTAAGAAACGGCCACCAGTGAGTGTCACCACCCAGTGAAAGGGTGACAACAAGGAATTTTAGAAGAAATGAGGGAGTGCCATCTCCCTTGGGGGCTTTGGAAGAATAGGGGATTTTGGCGACTGGGTATCGCAGAGCGCCAAAGATTGCTATAAAAGCGGCTTTTATGTATGTATTTGGAAGCAACGTCCGATTTCAGAATTTTTCAATCACTCGTATTTTCAAGACAAAATTAGCGAACAAGTTGGTATACCATTGCTTGTTAGTATCTTCAAGGTAATTTAACGATAGGCTCCAAAACTTTTTCAAAATAATCGAAAACTAGCCCCCCCCCC